CTCGATCCCAGGACCCTGGGATCATGACCTGAGCCGAAGGCAGACGCTCAACGACTGAGCCACCCAGGCGCCCCGGTACCTTACTATTTTAAAAAGCATTTTGTTACATAAATATGTCATCTTGATATACTGTACTACTTTACTCATTAATATGGTCATGACTCTAAGTCTTGTCTTTTCAAATACAGTTCAGTCTCCACGGGCAGAGGCTAAGTTTTATGCTCTTTTCATATTCCATAATGGTTAGCACATGCTATGGGATCAAAATGTTCCTGCTCAAAGATGTAACAACAAAAAAGATTCTTGGTGCTAGTTTAAGTGTGGGTTCAGGCCTCTGAGAGTGACAAGGGAGGGGAGCAAGCACTCTAAAGCATGAGCATTATGAAGGAAGCACAAATTACAGAGCAGAGACTATGTAGGAAATGGAAAAAGGGACAAAGTATTAATCTCTAAATTTGGCCTCAATAGAGTCTATATACATAGCTCATTTTGCATAACAACTGACAATACAGGAGTGACAGAATCAAACCGAGGAGCTGGGACAACTGGATGCTCTTCTTAGTTTAATCTAGAACACCCTGGGAGAGGCACAGATGCATCAAACGAGGCCTGGCTGCCAGGGTCTACAGCTGCCTGGGGGCTGAGCCTGATGTTGGCTGAGGCTTCCAATCCCACGATCCTTATCCCGTGGTCTTTAGCGGGAAGCTGAGGAAACAGGTGCAAAGAACAGAGGAAGGAGCTTGAAAGGCGCCCATACTCCATAGCAACGAATCTTCTTTCAAAGGTGAAGTGCTTAGCTGGAGTGGGGCACCTCTCCTACAATCAGAAATGCCCTCGATGAAGATATATAAGTGCTTTGTTATTTTTTTTCCTCACTGCTTTGAAACAGAACATACTAATATGCAATCATATCGCAAATACACAAACCACCAACAGATTATTTGCTTAAACTCTCCCCATCATCATCTGTGAATTAGACAGTGTGCCCATGAGCCCTGGTCCTGCTTAGTTTCCAGGGACAAGTACAGATGTCACAAAGAATCTTCTGTTACCGAGGATAACCGTGAAGCTGTCATTCTGTAAAGGTGCCTTTGCAGGCTATGTGTTCTCTATAAAGAACTTTTCAATATTCCCCGATGCCCCATTCCTTCCAAACACTTACTTATCCATTTACCGTTGGGAGCAAATATCACCAAGCTCCTACAAGGATTGCTCTCTGGCTCATAAGCAAAAGCATCCACATTAAAATAGCAGTCTGATTCATAAAGGAACATTTAGAGGAAAACACTCTTCTGTGCCTCTCCTTTTTCTTAATTTTAAATACCCAAAATCTGGGAGTTGAAAAATCAGGCACTGGGAGCAACCGCTGCCGAGGGCAGGAGCCAAGTATCTTCCAACAATAATACAGAAATATCAAAATACCTCTTTCTAAATTGTGAAGCACTGCAAGGATGGGGAGGGAGAGAAACAGCACTGAAAAGGGTAAGGATCAAGGACTTCTTTGTGTTAGAAAACTCAGCAGGAAGCCAATAAATGCAGAGGGCACCTCCCAGCTTCCTGTGTGACTAACTGTCCCCACCAACGTTCAAAATATGACAGACAAGGTTTTGGAATAAATACCGAGAAAACAAGTTATTTTACCTAAGACAAAATTTTTAAAACAAGAAATAGTACAGGAGTAGGGGAAAAAATATTACAGTTAACTTAAGCTACTAGGACCCTTAACACTGGGGATACAAAACGCTGGGTAGGAAAACAGTAGTGCGGACTACAACTACAAGCAGCTGAAATAAAGGACTTGGCAAGTGAATTTTAACAACTGACATTTTGGGGTGCTTGGGTGACTGAGTTGATTAAGCGTCTGCCTTTGGCTCAGGTCATGATCTCAGGGTCCTGGGATGGAGTCCTGCATTGGGCTTCCTGCTCGACGGGGAGCCTGCTTCTCCCTCTGCCTCTGCCCCTCCCCCCCTGCTCCTGCTCTCTCGCTTGCTCTCTCTCAAATAAACAAATGAATAAAATCTTTTAAAAAACAAACAAAAAACAACTGATGTTTTATACAAGTGCCACGTAATAAATAATAAGGATTTAAGACATAAATCTACTCTGTGCACATAGGAATGCTTTAAATTCGGATTTCATTGTCAAAAAAAGGGAAAAAAAACAAAACAAAAAACTGGCTTTTGACCCCAGCACAGCACAGACAGTACTTAGGGTCTACGCCTCACACACTTACGTTGGGCAACAGCGCCTTGAATTCGGTAACCCAAGATAATGGCTGCTCTCTGGATATCTATCTTGTTAATCAGATCTGAAGACTTGACTGCACTGAGTCTTTCTCCATCTTGATCCTCCACAAAGTAGATGAGCTGCACAGGATTGTCATCTCCCTCTAGCCTTGACACGTTTACCATCTGAAAGATAACAGAAACCATTAGCATTTTTGAAGCTCCTATTTCTAAATGCCCTTGCTCAAGGCACTCTATCTTGACTGTGTTATTCAGGATTCATTCCAATCCTCATAATGAGCTCCTGATACCATTCTGGATGCCAGAATCCCCACGATGCTCTCAATGGTAAGAGGGACAATGAACGTTACTCTGTACAGAATAACAAATGTGCCTCATCTTGCTCCAAGTCTTCCCTGAGACAAATGGGCAAGTAGGATAAAGAGAACACATGGTTGCCAAGTCCAGGCACTCTAGAATTGCAACCAACCAGCTCCAACACATCATGGGAGAATGCTGCTGTCCTCCCAACATGAATCATTAATGTTAGGTACATCCCTGGTCCTCGGAAACGATTGTAGGTTCTATCCAATCTCGTCTTGAATCTTATCAGCATTTCCTCTTTTTTTAGGGCACTACTGCCATCTTGGTTCAGTGGGGGGCTAGCCCAAGTATTGCAGGATATTTAGCAGCATCACCATCCTCCACTCACTAGATGCCAGGACCAACAGCCATATCCTCCCTCAGCAGTTGTGACAACCAAAAATGTCACCAGGTATTGCCAAATGTACCCGGGTGGGGGAGGGAGGACACAAAATCAACACCACTTGAGAATCACTGCTCTCAGGGTGATAAATCTCATAAATTCTTTAATACCCCACTGTCAACAATAGATAGATCACATAGACAGAGAATCAGTAAGGAAACAGCAGATTTGAGCAACACTATGGACTACAGGAACCTAAGAGACATTTACAGAACATTCCATCCACCATCAATAGAATACACATTCTTCTCAAGCACATGTGGAACATTTTCTAGGATACACCATATGTTGGGCCACAAAACAGTCTCAACAAATTCAAGAAGACAGACATTATATCAAGTATCTCTTCTGACCACAATGGTATGAAACTACAATCAATAATAGGAGAAAAGCTGGAAATTTCACAAATACATGGAAATTAAACAGCACACTCCTGCAAACACCAATAGACCAAAGAAAAAATCAAAAGGGAAATTAAAAAAATATCAAGACAAATAAAAACAGAAAATAAATGCATACATCAAGAAAAAAGAAAGATCTCGGGGTGCCTGGGTGGCTCAGTCGTTAAGCGTCTGCCTTTGGCTCAGGTCATGATCCCAGAGTCCTGGGATCGAGCCCCGCATCGGGCTCCCTGCTCAGCGGAAAGCCTGCTTCTCCCTCTCCCACTCCCCCTGCTGTGTTCCCTCTCTCGCTCTCTCTCTCTCTCTGTGTTAAATAAATAAATAAAATCTTTAAAAAAAAAAAAAGAAGAAAGATCTCAAATAAAAAACTTGGGCGTCTGAGTGACTCAGTTAAGCATCCAAATCTTGATTTCGGTTCAGGTCATGATCTCAGGGTTATGGGATCAAGCCCCGCATCAGGCTCCACACTCAGTAGTGAGTCTGCTTGAGATTCTCTCTCTCCCTCTCCCTCTGCCCCTCCCTCCTCTAGTGTGCTCGCGTGCTCTCTCTCTCTCTGAAATAAATAAATAAATCTTTTTAAAAAAAACTAACTTTACAACCCAAGGAACTAGGGAAAAAAAGAAAAACCTAAGCTCAAAGTTAGCAGAAGGGAGAAAATAACAAAGATTAGAGCAGAAATAAATAAAATAGAGAATAGGAAAAATTAACAAAACTAAGAGTTGGTTCTTTGAAAAGATAAACAAAATTGACAAATCTTTAGCTAGACTAACAAAGAAAAAAGAGGACTCAAATGAAAGTTATAAATGAAAGAGGAGACACTACAACAGATAATAGAAATACAAAGGATCATAAAAGATTACTCTGAATAATTATACACCAACAAATTGGATAACCTAGAAGCAATGGATAAATTCCTGAAAACACACAACCTACTGAGACTGAATCATGAAGAAATAGAAAATGTGAACAGACCAATAAGAATTAAGAAGATTGAATCAGTAATCAAAAACTTCCCAACAACAAAAGCCCAGGACCAGATGGTTTCACTCATGAGTTCTACCAAACATTCAAAGAATTAATACTAATCCTTCTCAAAAATTTCCAAAACAGTAAAGAGAAGGGAACATTCCCAAACTCATTTTATGAGACCAACATAACCATGATACCAAAGTCCACTAAGGACACTACAAAAAAAAAAAAAAAAAAAGAATACTACAGGCCAATATCTCTGATGAATTAGATGCAAATATTCCCAACAAAATACTAGCAAACCAAATGCCACAGTACATTAAAAAGATCATGGTACGTGATGTACATGTATGCAACATGGGGCTCCTGGGTGGCTCGGTCGGTTAAGCATCTGCTTTCAGCTCAGGTCATGATCCCAGGGTCCTGGGATCGAGCCCCACGTCAGCCTTCCTGCTCAGCAGTGAGTCTATTTCTCCCTCTCCCTCTGCCCCTCTGCCTGCTTGTGCTCTCTCTTTCTCGCTCGCTCTCAAACACACAAATAAAATCTTTTAAAAAAATGTCCAGGGACGCCTGGGTGGCTCAGTCGGTTAAGCGGCTGCCTTTGGCCAGGTCATGATCCCAGGGTCCTGGGATCAAGTCCCACATCGGGCTCCTTGCTCAGCAGGGAACCTGCTTCTCCCTCTCTCTCCCTCTGCTTGTGCTCTCTCTGTCAAATAAATAAAATCTTTAAAAAAAAAAAAAAAAAGTCCATACTATCCAAAGCCACCTATAGATACCATCTATAGCCCTCTGTAGCCATCAAAATTCCAATGGCATTTTAAAAATAGAAAAAACAATCCTAATATTCATATGGAACCACAGAAGACCCTGGTAACAAAGGAGCCAAGAATACTCAATGGGGAAAAGATAGTCTCTTCAATAAATGGTGTTGGGAAAACTGTATATTCACAACCAAAACAATGAAACTGGGTCCCTACCTTATATCACTCACAAAAAATAATTCCAATGGAAAGATTTAAATGTAAGACCTGAAACCATAAAACTTCTAAAAGAAAACATAAGGGAAAGGCTCCTTGACATTGGTCTTGGCAATGATTTTCTGGATATAACACTCAAAGCACAAGCAACAAAGCAAAAATAAACAAGTGGACTATATCAAACTTAAAAGCTTCTGCACAGCAAAAGACAGACGCAACAAAATGAAAAGGCAACCTATGGAATGGGAGAAAATAGGCACAAATCATATATCTGATAAGGGGTTAATATCCAAAATATATAAGGAACTCATATAGCTCAATAGCAAAACAAAAAACAAAACCCAAACTCTCTGATTTAAAAATGAGCATGAGATCTTGGGCGCTTGGGTGGCTCAGTTGGTTAAGCGACTGCCTTCGGCTCAGGTCATGATCCTGGAGTCCCGGGATCGAGTCCCGCATCGGGCTCCCTGCTCGGCAGGGAGTCTGCTTCTCCCTCTGACCCTTCCCCCTCTCATGTGCTCTCTCTCTCTCATTCTCTCAGTCTCAAATAAATAAATAAAATCTTTAAAAAAAAAAATAAAAATGAGCATGAGATCTGAATAGACATTTTTCCAAAAAAGATAGACAAATGGCCAACAGGTATATGAAAAGGTCAACATCACTAATCATCAGAGAAACATAAATCAAAGCCACAATGAGATATCACCTCACACCTGTTAGAATTGCCAGCATCAAAAGACAAGAGATAGGTGGGGGTAAGAAGATGGAGAAAAAGGGGACCCTTGTGCATGGTTGGTGGGAATGTAAATTAGTGCAGGCATTGTGGAAAACAGTATGGACATTCCTCAAAAAATTCAAAATGGAACTACCATGTGATCCAGGAATCCCACTTCTAGGTATATACCCAAAGGAAATGAAATCCACTATCTTGCAAAGATATCTGCCTACCACCACCACCCCCCCCCATTCACTGCAGCACTATTTACAATAGCCAAGACATGGAAGCAACCTAAGTGTCCATCCATAGACGAATGGATAAAGAAGAAGATGTGACGTGATACAGACACACACGCGTGCATGCACACACACACACATGCACACACACGCACACACACACATTCTAAAAAAGCCAAACTCATAAAAATAGAGTAGCTGGTAGTTGCCAGGGACAGGAGGTGGGAGAAATGGGTGATGGCGGTCAAAGGGTATGAACTTCCAGCTGTAAGATGAGTAAGTTCCAGGGGTCTAATGTACAGCATAGTGACCGTAGTTAACAATACCATGTTATATACTTGAGAGGTGCTGAGTGTAGATCTTAAAAATTCTCACCACATCCAAAAAAAAAAAAAGAGTAATGGATGTGTTAACTAATGTTATTGTGGCGATCACTTTGCAACATATACACATGTCAAATCATCACACTGTACACTTTAAACCTATATGGTGTCATATGTCAATTGTCTTTCAATCAAGCTAGAAAGTTGTGCATAAATTCACAATCACCTAGGTCAAATAGTACTTTGATTTGTCCCAGAATCGATCTCCCTCTGGCGTTCTAGGTAGCCCTTTCACATTAGGACTTCAGAATCTGGTATACTTGCTGCATCACAGTCTTACATAAATACATGTTTCTATTTTGTTGCTGCTTCTCTAATAATATGCAACAGTTTTACTGCCCTTTGAGACTCCAGCAAAATGCAGGACTGATGTTTTGGGGCAATATCAACAATGAGTCCAAGCCCTCTGTTTTGTACAAGCAATTTGAATTTTTGGTCTCTACATTTGCCATTGGCAAAATGCAGCTGCTAATTTTCTAGCCACGTGTACACAATTGTAACCCTGCCCTGCGTTCCGGACACAGCTGAGGGACCCCTCCTTCACCACTGGAAACTTCTGGCAAATCAACAATTTCATGATTTCACTGTGAATGCCTTCTTCAAGATTATTTATAAAGATCCTTACAAATAGGTCCAAACTCATCCCTGGAGAATCTGTTCTTTAAACCTCCCCATCCTGACAAGGGCTCATCTATCCTGCCCTTTGTTTGCTATTTCTAGGCTAATTCCCTGACCACTTCTATTCCCTAACCACCTACTCTCTCCCCAAACTGGGCTGTAATGATTAATTTTTTATTAGCCCTTAGAATGGAATACTATCAAAGGACTATGTAAATATTTATTACACTGAAAAGTTCTAATACATTTTAGAAATGGTTTTGCCTTGCAGAAACCAGGTTCCCATATATTTGGGTATATAATTAAAGATAATACAAACTTGTCCAATCTGAAAGCGACAGTCAGTAAAACCTAATTCTAGCATCCTTTCTAGATAACTTATCAGATTCATAGCTGGAATCCATACAACCACAGTAGGATGGAGTCATCATTTTGGGCAACATTTTCAATTTCATTTTTAAAATTATTTTCTGATTAAAATCACATGTTCACTGTACAAATTACATGCTCATTGGAGAAATTTTGAAAACACACAAAATATATAAAAAATAAAATGAAAATCACCTGAAGTTCAATCAACCAAAGAAAATTATTATAAACATTTTGGCATATTTAATTTTTTTTCATAAGTTTCATATTAATATTTGGATGACAGTGCATGCATTCTTTGGTAACCTCTGTTCACTATATCACTCACTCACTCACTCACTCATTTGTTTGTTTGTTTGTTTATTGAGAGAGAGAGTGTGAGTGGGGGAGAGGAGCAGGGAAGAGAAGGGCAGAGGGAGAGGGAGAGAGAGAATCTTAAGCAGGCTCCATACCCAGTGCAGAGCCTAATCTCACGACCCTGAGATCATGACCTGAGCTAAAATCAAGAGTCGGATGCTTAACTGACTAAGCCACCCAGGTACTCCTCAATAATTTTTTTATTATTATGTTAATCAACATGCATTACATCATTAGTTTTTGATATAGTGTTCCATGATTCATTGTTCGCATATAACACCCAGTCCTCAATTTTTTTAAATTTTTTATTGCTATGTTAATCACCATACATTACATCATTAGTTTTTGATGTAGTGTTCCATGATTCATTGTTTGCGTATAACACCCAGTCCTCAATTTTTTTAAATTTTTTATTGCTATGTTAATCACCATACATTACATCATTAGTTTTTGATGTACTGTTCCATGATTCATTGTTTGTGCATAACACTCAGTGCTCCATGCAGAACGTGACCTCTTTAATACCGATCACCAGGCTAACCCATCCTCCCACCCCCCTCCCCTCTAGAACCCTCAGTTTGTTTTTCAGAGTCCATTGTCTCTCATGGTTCTTCTCCCCCTCCGATTTCCCCCCCTTCATTCTTCCCTTCCTGCTATCTTTTTTTTTTTTTTAACATATATTGCATTATTTGTTTCAGAGGTACAGATCTGTGATTCAACAGTCTTGCACAATTCACAGCACTCACCATAGCACATACCCTCCCCAGTGTCTATCACCCAGCCACCCCATCCCTCCCACTCACCCCCCACTCCAGCAAATTTTTTTAAAATGACAATGGCTACATAACATTCCAACATATAAAGATTCACTATAATGTATTTACTCATTCTCCAACTGCTGGACATTAGGTTGCTGTAATGCTTTCACTTTTACAGATTATATTTTGATGAAGAGTCCTGCACTGTTGCACATGAATCCTTGTCTATATCTCCACACTGGGTCACTCTAAGGGGGAAGAGATGTGGGGTGCGGTCCCTATGCAATCCATCAGATGGCACCGCTGGCTGGGGTGGTTTCATTCACGCCCACAGACCTCACATTCCTACCTGAGGGAGTTTGCACAATTAATGTAGCACTTCATTAGGTAGTTTTATGGGGCTCTATAACTGTTTTACGTGCATAAATTAACCTCCACCAAGACCCTGAGCTCCACGAAGCCAGGGCTGCTAAATAAGGCGAGGCTTTTACAAGTCATTTTAATTTCTTCCTTGTTTCATGCTTATTTAATGTTACTCTCAATTTTTTATTAGTTTTTTTAAAATTTCTCTATAGTCAACTGCAGCTGGCAAAGGAACTACTCTGGGAGAAGCAATCAAGAGCAATGCTTATGGGGAAAACTCGGTAAGAGGGTCACAGGACAATGCCACCAGCTCAAGGCAAACTTGCGCCGCCCCCACCCACGTCAGCTGTGCATCTTTCTCGCTGATGCCCCCAAACCACCCACCTCTCTGCCCCTGCACTTCCTTTCACCCCACTTTCCTGTCTCTGTGATGCCATAGCTCTAAATATCCCGTTTTCCTAGCTCTAGAAGTCAGCAGTCAATAAAGGAAAAAAATCCAAAATAACAGAATTCACATTGAGATGGGAATAAATTACAGCCTGAACCTCCAACTCTCTGCGAGCACGTGCATTTTTAATGGATCACTTTCGGATTCAAACGAATCTGTTGTTTGTAACCTTCCTGCTAGTTTACAAAATGGACTGTACGGTGACAGATGGTAACTAGACTTCTTGCAGTGGTCACTTTGAGGTGTATGCAAATATCAAATCATTACCTGAAACTAATATATATCAATTTTACCTCAATTAAAACAACAACAACAACAAAAGTGGAGACAATCGGGTAACATGACTGGGTTGTCAGGAGGCAGGGAGGATGAAGTGCTAGAAGGGAGGACACAAAATTCTCCTCTCTCCGATCCCTTACGGTCTATTCCACTAGATGATTTATAACCATGATGCTCATGTTGATGGCATGGCAACCCAGTGACAGAATTCTCTTGCCATGCTCCCCACGGGTTTATCCGTCTAGACTCTAGTCGAACTGAAATGCTACCACGCTCATTTGTTACCTGATAGAGTCATCAGTCCAAATTTAGAATTTTCTCATGGCATTTTCCATTTGCATGAAAATACTGCATGTTTTTAGAGAAATCTCTTCCCCTCCTCCCCTGGCCATCTTAGAGTACCTGCACCACGCTGTTCCCGGCAGCGATGGTGGCCCTTCTCCACATCCGCCTCCGGGTGGACACCTCACTGAACAGCTGGGCCAGCTTGCGCTCCATCTCAGCCTGAAACACTTCATTCTGGAGCTGCTTCTCGACAACGCCCAGGAGAACTGCATTTACAAAATGAAACACACGCAGGCCCCAAAACAAGTTAGCAGTGGAGGAAAAGTGAGTGTGTGTAGAAGACAAAATTAATGTAGGGCTCCTATGAAGTGCCCATCCCTAGGGAGGAGACATTAAGAGGAGGAAAAAGTGAACATGAACGGGGTCATGGGGAGCCAGGAAGTGCTGCTCAGGGGTCTTATTTACAGTTCCAAGCTCTGTTACACAGACTGGTGGCCAGAAGTCCCAGGAACTCAGCAGCATAGAAGCTTTGGAGCTAAGAACTCCCACACAAGAGCAAATATTTTATCCATCCTTAATTTAAAACTTCTGGAAATGCTCTGAGTTCTTATCTTATCTAGACTCAAGACTTAGATGCATAAACTGACCCGAGATAAGGGTGCCCGTCTTAAAACATCTGTGGTAAACAAGATTATCAAACAGATAATGGGCTTGTTAGCATATCCTCAGAGAAAAACCCCTGAGCTTTTCAGCCAGAACTGGCCCAAATCTGCTGAGACAGGACCATGGACAAGTCTCTGAAGTGCTGTGAAAATGGTCTGGAACATGGGGCCACTGTACCAGGCAAAGAGGTGGAGCCCTTACATGGGGAGCTGTATGTGAAGCAAGGAGAACTTGCAGGGTCTGAGAAGCCACAGACGGTGATCATTATACGGCACACATCCTCCCCATGACCACTTACTTACCCAGCCGCTCACACGCTGGGCACACAGTGAGTGTGTCACTATCTCTTATTCTTTGATTACCCGGTGAGAAAGCCTTTATCCACAATGCCATAGCTATAAATATCTGACCCAGGCCCACAAGACTTTTTAAAAAACCTTCTTATTTGCTCACCGAGCTACCTTATTCATCCTCATAAAACCAAACAAATAAGGCTCTTTAGAAAACAAAAAAAGAGAGAGAGAGAGATCCTTGCTTTGGAACTCCATCCTGTTCTGGATCAGAAGACTCAGTTCTTCTTAGACCTTCCCCTGGACTTGATGTATGCATTTTAAAGAAAGCCAATCCTTTTTGTGCCATAACTCAGTGGGACACATTCCCACAGCTGAATCTGAATTCCCTTCTCATTCATTCTTTGCCGAGAATTTAAGGGACATGATGCCCTGAATTTAGGACTCAGAAACAAGAAAGTCGGCATCATGCTCGATACACCCGCCCAGACTTTTTATTCCTACAGTTCCCAAAACATTATGTAAGTCAGACATACCTGTTCGCACCCAGGAGGACTTCAACAACTGAGATAAGTTCAGCTGCGGGTACTGGAAGGCTATAAAAAGGAAAGGAGGGAAACCCGTGAAAACATGTTCGCACCCATCAGGAAGGTAAAGTCTAGGGAGTACCCGGTAAGTCACAGTACTTCGCCTTTCTTATACCTTTTAGCACAAAATGTGTTAGAACAAAATGCCAGACTGGTGTGAAGGCACGGACAATATGCAGTTTCTGAGCACAAGAGTCTCCAGAAGAAAGGCGGAGAAAAAGAAGTAAAAGGCTGGTTCGAGTGTCACCAAGTGACAGAGCCCGGCTGCCCGCCCGCCTGCAAGTTCCCCTTGAAATCTCATTGTTCCAGAGCAATGAGATTTCACACTGTGCTCCCCAGGGCCCTAGGGTTTCCCAGCAATGACTCCGGGTAAAGTGACCCTATGTCCTGGCATGGCTCGTACAGTCCCGGGGTACCCCTGATGTCCAGCATACTATTTTACCCATACCTGCACTGCACAGAATGAATAGGCGCTATTTGTAAAGAACAATTTTTATCCCTGCCCATATACTTTGGCATCTGACAAGTTATCCTTTTTCATTTAATTAACTGCACGCTAAAACACATAAAAGTCATTAGACCATTTGGCTGTTCCATTTTTGAAAAAGAATTTGATGTTTAATAATGCAATATATGTTAAGGAAAAAAAAAAGAAGAAGAAGATAGCAGGAGGGGAAGAATGAAGGGGGGAAATCGGAGGGGTAGACGAACCATGGGAGATGATGGACTCTGAAAAACAAACTGAGGGTTCTAGAGGGGAGGGTGATGGGAGGATGGGTTAGCCTGGTGATGGGTATTGAGGAGGGCACGTTCTGCATGGAGCACTGGGTGTTATGCACAAACAATGAATCATGGAACACTACATCTAAAACCAATGATGTAATGTATGGGGATTAACATAACAATTTAAAAAAAAAAGAATTTGATGTTTTTTTGGCCTGATTTCAACCCTGGGATCTACTGTTTTTTGAAGTAAATGTTTTCCCCACCCCCACCCCGCTCCATTTGCACCGTGATTCTAATCGCTTCAGCCAGGAAGAAAGGTTTTGTTTGTTTTATTTTTCTTTTTTTAGTTTTATGCGTGCATGCAGTAAAATATACTCTTTCTGGTGTACAGCTTTATGGCTTTTGACAAATGCACAAAGTTGCATAACCACCACCACATTAAAGATACAGAACAGGCTCATCAGCCCCCAGAAGTTGCCTTCTGCTACTCTTCTGCAGTCTAGCCTTCCTCCCACCCATCTCCCGGGCAACCACAGGTCTGTTCTCTATGCCTCTGGTTTTACCTTTTCCAGAACTTGTGTAGGCTTTACCAGTGCCCTTTACTCTCATAGGACAATAATAAAACAAGGCCAGTGGGTGAGGAGGGCTCTGGAGGCCCACCCTGAACTGACTCTGAGATGCTCCGATTTTATCTGATTTATACTCTGGACTTCAGCCAAATATTTCAAAAGAGGCCCAAGCAATGAAAATACCTGCGGCCACTTTCCCAGCACTTTGCGAGAGAGCCGTACTCACGTTCGGCGATCTGGAGCACTGGGTACCCCAGGTAGAAACTGAACTCCACCACGCTCAAGTTTCTGAGCAGCTGGCTCACTTCTGTCCCATTCAAAAACCCCTGCGTGCCCCTGACGGCAAAGACAATATTCACCGGGCCCCGCCGAGGAGCTGGCCTTGAAGCACCCATGGTGATATTCAAGATCTAAAAAGAAGGAAGGTGGGATAAGCTTCCAAAAGAAAGCAAAACACTGAGCTAAAAGCCGATGATTTCTCTCTCACAATTTCTCTCATTGATTTTTTTTTTTTTTGCTAAAAGGAGGTAACGTTTTTCAAAGGAACGAACTAGCTCCACAACCTGGTTCCCGTCTGCAATACTTAAAATTCTCAGTTTACTGAAAATGTTTTTCCCATGAAGTGATGAACTGAACACATGTATTTATAGTCCCTCCGCGCCCCTCCCACCCCAAATCCCCCTGAAATAATAAGCTGAACAAAGGGGAGTAAATCTACAACAGCTCTGAGAATGGAAGAAAATCAGAGATTTCTGTCAAATTCCTGGAAGATGGAGAGAGGATGGGTTCATAATGATATAAACCAGAACTGAGGGAACTGAGACCCAAATCATACACAGGCACGGAGCGCAGGGGCAGAGAGCCGGTTCCCCCAGGGCCCCGGGAGAACTCTGCAGGAACGGACACCAGAGGAGGCCATGAACAGCAATCAGTACAATTAATCAATGCCTGTATACCAAAGAGCTGAGCTGATTCTCCCTCTTCTTCCCTTCTAATTGCCACAGGCAAGGCAACACAGAAGTGCCGGCCAAGCCACATCTGCACCCTGACCTGCCCAAAGAACCGCTCCCTAAGGAAAAGGAGCTCCCCGTCAGAGCAGGCTAACAGACTGTGTGGGTTTGGCCCCTAAGAAGGAGGGTAGAGACTTCTATCCACCAGAGCACACAAGAGACAGAGAAGGAAAGAAAATGAAAGAAAGGGCAGCTTTGCTGCAAAAAGTACACTGAAGCACTCCATCCCCAGAAATCCTTATCCTGCACTGGGGCAGGGGTCCCAGGCTGCCCCACCATCCTCATCCTCTGCCTGGGACCCAGTGCTCCAGGGAATCGTCCCATCGGGAGACAGGGCAGATATAGACACAGACACCACAGCTGAATGGGAGAGCTGGCCAAAATTAACAACCTGCTTCTTCACTCCTAACAGCGACTAACCAAAGGTCTCCAAATATTTACGGAAAACTAGGAGCCCGAACGCCAAGGACCAAGATCAACAGAGAACAATGGCTGCAGAGAAAACAGAGACAACGTGGAAACCGGAAGGCAACTTTTAACAAATGCTCATTAATGTCCTCGGAGACTTCCTAGGTGATTTTGCATCATCATTCAAAATAATCCTGCATCTTTGTAGGAGAAATCACCATGAAAAAAGGAGCCAAGAACAACAAACAAATGACAGCTGAGAGCAAATTCAGCAGAGGGACTGAAAAACATGATGGACAGAGCTGAAGACGAAATTAATGACTCAGAGGACAAAGTTTAGGAATTTAAAAAGAGATGGTATTATAAGAAAACATAAGAATTATGAAACGTGGCTCCAAGTTTACAAAAATTTAATATAAATTCTAGAAAGAGAGAACAAAGGATACGGAGAAAAAATATCAAAGAAATATAACAACATCAGGGGTTTCCATACAATACACACAAAGCCTGTTCATTCCTGAGTGGCTAGATTCTGTTTTTAGAGTGAAGCACTGCATTTCGTGGTACCTCATAACATGAAACACCGTGTACTGAGGCACTCCCCCATTGGGTATTTAGGTTGATACCGTTCCTTCTTAGAACATTCTTGTGTTTCCGGCATATGTTCATCTCTGTCCAGCTCACCACACCTGAGCTCCGTGGTCATCCTACTGCTCCGTAATCTTCAAATACGCCTAGCCTATTCACACTACGTGAACTCGGTGCCCCGGAAAGAGATTGACCTCGATTCATGTGAACTGAACTTCTTCCATGAGAGGAAGAGTTAATCGTGGCCTCAACAAACATGTGAAACAAGTTCCTCTTTAAAGGACAAAGCACCGGGGCGCCTGGGTGGCTCAGTCGTTAAGCGTCTGTCTTCCCAGGGTCCTGGGATCGAGTCCCGCATCGGGCTCCCTGCTTGGCGGGGAGTCTGCTTCTCCCTCTCCCACTCCCCCTGCTTGTGTTCCCTCTCTTGCTGTGTCTCTTTCTGTCGAATAAATAAAATCTTTAAAAAAAAAAAAAAAAAAAAGGACAAAGCACCTTGTTCTGCATTCAGTGCTATTCTCACCTGCACGGTGAAGTTATGCGTCCCCTGGTGGTGTTTTCTCACTTCAGAAAGAGCTATCATCAGGCCTTTCTCGATGCGCTGGGTGAAGTTGCAGAAGCTGGTATCCACACTCTGAGGCACGAACTGAAGAACTAGAAGGAGGACAGCAATCACAGGCCCATGAACCAGGCACTGTTTAGGACTGAGGAATGAGGAGGCAAAAAATACTATCTAACTCAAAAAACGCCTCCATAGCATGGGATTAGGTACTGAGAGGTAGTATTTAGCGGTCTCCTAGTAGGGAAACGGAGAAAACCAACTCTGCCCCAAATGAATACATACAACGTGAAGGTGACTTGTATCTTTTAAAATGGAAAAAGATAACAATGGGAGCATCAAAAGATGCAAGTGACTGAAACATTTCAAGTATGAAATGTGAAAATACTCTCAACTCCTCAAAAAACACTGTGGGGGGATAGATGGAACAATGGGAACATATTCAACTGTGGATATGTGTGTGTGAGTGTATTCAATAATCTTCATCTCTTAGAGGCATGAGCTGAAATACTTATGGGTGAGATGACATGATGCCGTATCAAAATAATGTGGGAGGAGGGCACGTAGGTATGTATCACAAGACAGACTAGGAGGTGAAAATTGTTGAAGCCGTACGATGAGTACATGGAGGCTCATTCAACTATTCTGTGCCCTTTTGTACATGCTAGAAGTCTTCTGTAATTATAAAGGCTTTTTTTAATTTAAATGAATTGTTTAAAATCCTCCCCCAATTTTTTAACAATGTAAAAAATAAAATAAAATTTTATTTACAAATCAATCAAAACAACTATGCTCGGTTTTCTCACCCGTGTGAACTTGGAACCTGGACTCTGGCACAAGGAAGGAAGGTTTCACAGCCAGGATTAAAGGAGTTTGGTCACGTACAAGTTTACTGTTTATAAGTACATTTATGACTGATATTGCCGTGTAAACGAAAGGCCCCGATGTTACCAGGAAAGTGAAGTCAGCGAATAGTTCATAAACCTATGAAAATTTACAAAAACACAAAAGACAGTAATTATCAAATTTGAGAGGGCTGTAACTCAAAATTAAAGGAAGCTGCATGAAGTAGAAAAACAACAGAGCAAGTAAGGTAAAAAATAAACAGGTAGCTTTAAATGAAGGGGGAGGGCTGCACAGACAATCAAAATTTTATTTTAGTTATCCCTTTTACAGATCTGCCAACCGTCTCAAAAACAGTGTAAAATTACAAGAGCAAAAACAGCGAGAAAGAACAGCCAATAATACGAACTGAATAATGAGTTACGGAGAATTCAAAGTCGTTGTATTTAATCCACATGTGAAGGAACACTTATTCTGTTGAGCAGGGCTGTCCAAAAGAAGTTCATGAGCCACATATGCAGTTTTAAAATTTCTAGTAGCCACATTAAAAAACGTAAAAAGAAACAGGTGAAATTAATTTTATTTAACCCAATACATCTGAAATATCATTTCAACATGTGGTCAATGCAAAAAATTATTAGATGGTTTACATTTCTTTTTTCACTCAGCCTTTGAAATTCTGTGTCAGTTTTGCACTTACAGCACGTCTCAATTCAGACAAGCCCCGTTGCACGTGCTCAGTAGCCACATGTGGCTCGTGGCTCTGTTCAGGACGGTGCAGGTATAAAGCGTGGCTTTCTGACCTCATCAGGGGAGAGGGGGTAGGAGCACAGGGTCCACTGTGTATGGAAATCTATCTCTATCCCACTAAGTGTACAGAAATATGCACACGCACTCACTCTAAAATCTAATTAAAATTCTAATCCAAGTCCTTTTACGTAAATCAAGGGAATCATCACGTCATCATCCCCAGCTCTGGTCTTAGAGCCTTTTTGTTCCATTCTGCCAACACATCCCTCCAGTGGACTACACCTGGCCTCAGGTGGGATCAGGGCTTCCCTGATGAAGCGACGTTCGAGTGGCTACCCAGAATGAGCAGGTGTTCACCAAGAGAAGGAGGGAGGAGAGGATAGGGAGCGTTCTAGAACCATGACATGCCTTCAGCCTGAGCTCCCGAGCCACAGGCACCCACCTTGAGCTCCACCGCCCGGTTGAAGTGAATCCTCAACACCTCTTTGATGGACGTGATGATGTACTCCTGCACAGCTCTTCTGGCCAGCACTACAAACCAAAGCCAACCACCAAACGCAGTTTAGTTTCATTATGAATAATGTGGGCGTCACACTTCTGGTCCCCAAAGCAGAGCCTGTGCTCTGCCAAACTGTGACAGCCGCTGCCAAAATCATTTTGTAAAAATCAGGCCCAGACTACGAAAGAACAGGGGAACGGCTGTGGATCTGGACATTCCCAGGTGTTCTGTCTCTTGGCTATGCCCCTAATGGTAAAACACAAAGTTTTAAAACTCTCAGCAGTAATATTTTAAAAGACTTTAAGATGTTACTCAGCAAAACTAGATGACATCTTCCCCTGTAAAATGAGGTCTCCTACCTCAATTTTTCAATGCAGTAAGGGAAGGGTTTTCACCACTAATAACGGGGCGGGAAAGATTTTCACGATCCCCATGTATTAAAATTTTATGTAGGAAGTAAAATATTTCTTATAACAAAGTCTAGCTATATTTAGCTCTCCTTCCACATCTAAGAAATTCTATTTTAAAATGTGTAATAAGAGAGCCTCTTTCTCAGTATTTAGTAAACATGTCTTGCTGCTCCCCTTTCTTTTCCCTATTATTTTTTCTTTCCTCTTCCATTAACTTCTCATAATGCAGAATCTAAATACGTTTGAAATTATTATTCGGTTTTCTGCTTCCTATTCTTGATTTTTAAAACTGGAGACAGGGAACACCTGGGTGGCCCAGTGGGTTAAGCGTCTGCCTTCGGCTCGGGTCATGATCCCAGGGTCCTGGGCAGGGACCCCACTTCTCCCTCTGCCTGCCGCACCCCCTGCCTGTGTGTACTCTCACTCTCCCTCTCTGACAAATAAATAAAACCTTTAAAAAAATAAAACTGGAGACAGAATCACTCTGTATCTTCCATTCTTTTTTAAAAAAAAACATTTAAGTTACATTCAGTTGTTTTCTCTACTGATCGATGACCTTGATAGTAAACACGGGAAAGGGCTTTTTTAATTCATAAGACCATTAGAACAAATGCAGACACCCTGACGGTGTCTGCTGACACACCAATGGCCAACTTGGCCTGGACTACATGGGCTCCAAGAGGACAGACTACAACATGGGTTTTAAAGGGAAGGACAAAAATGAGTGGGAAGGAAAAGAAGGGAAAAGGAGGAAGGAACGGAGGTACAGAGGGACAGAGAAATAGAGGGAGGGAGAGAGGAAAGACCGGAGGGAGGGAAGGAAAGATCTCAAAAGCTAAACTTGGGGAATGGAGAAACAGAATGGAAAATCAGAGACAGAAAAACCCAAAAGATCAAAGGAAGAAGTACACGTTGCAAGTAGCCCCATCTAAAGGGTGAACCATCCAAGTATTACTCTGAATAGTCTGCACGACCCACCATGAAAACCTACACCTTCTCTAGTTAATCTAAGTAAGATCTAAACTATAACGTCAGGGTATGAGCACAAGGGTCTTTGGGGAAAAAGGATCATCGACAACAAATATATGTTTCTCCAAATATCTAGTTTGGGCCAAGAGAGGCGAAAGAGCCCTGCTGAGGAGGCCAGGGTCGGGCAGGTCCTGGGTAGGAAGCACAGCCTCACCCCCTAGAGGATAAACATGGTGAAGTGCTCTCTCAAGAGTCCACCACGGATCAGCGGAGGGCTCTTACTTTTATGACAGAGCTCCATAAAAAGAACCCTTTCAGAGGACAAGTAATCACCCCAACCCTCTCTCTCTGATAATTACTAAAAGACTAAAAGAAACCAAGGCCAAATCTAAATGAAGATTCTAAATGAGGTGATCCTTCCTAGGGCTCAAAGATAACCACTGAGAGCAAAAGACAGCATTCCTGTCCACTTAAAAATACAATGTAACACTAGGGATACTTATGCACAAATCCCCATATTTACTACACCTGTTGAAGTGTACATTTACAGTGAGTGAATTCTACCCCAAAGGCTATTGCAAATACTCGGATCCCTAACAAAGAACACCAAATTCATTAAATGTATATCCTCTATGACAGTTAATCCAGGCTATATATGTCTGATATTCTTAGAGATCTTCTAAAATGGTTTCTAATTATTTGTAGAAAAATTTGAAAAGACACATTACGCCTACAAGTATCATAAATGTCACGAAATCCAAGAAATAAAGAAGCTTTCAGTAGTTCTTTTAATAAGCTTCTTGTAACTGACCACTTTGTGGTTACTATGTAGTAATGCTATAGAAAAGGAAGAAAAGTATCAGGTCTATGAGAAACTCTTCTCTCTCCTCTGGACTACTGTTTTCCCACAGATGAAAGTTCACCACTAGCCCCAACCTCATCTCCTAGCATAATTACTTCCTCCTCCCATTTCACAGTCTAATTACCAGCCAGGCTGAATGTTGTTGGGCTGTCTGACCTCTCCACCTGTGTTCACGCCTTCCACCAGAAGGACACTTCCCTTCATCTCCAGACGACAGCCCTCTTGAGTGTGCACCTCCAATTCACATCCTTCCAAACCCATCCCTCATCATCTATCTCAAAAGTCACTTTTATAGAACTCTGCTTCAACCATTCTTATCACAACTTCCAAGAAAACATGGCTTGTGTCTACCCTACTAGAATCTAAGCTCCTTGAAGGTCAGATCCATGTCATTCATGTAGATTACCCTCAAACCTTCTAAAGGCATAATTATTTGTCAAATGAATTAATAAATGGTTCCTTATTTAGGGGAGGGAGGGAGTTAAGAGAGTAAAGGCTTCAGCTTCTCCCCACGACCTCAGAGGGTGGTGGCACCACCATGATGAGCAGAGGATGCATGGCCTACCTCACAGCATGATCTCCTTCTCCTTCCTCACCTTACGTTTCCCTGTTCTTCTTCCTTCTCCACTCCACTCCATTCCTCCTCTACTTCTATCAACTTCTTTCCCCTTTCTTCATTTCTATCCTCCATTCCCACCAAAATCAACAACACACAGAGCCAGGCTGCACATCAATATTATATTGTATTTAAGTATATTAACAGGTCGCAAGACTTAACACGCAGCCTGTCATTCCTGATGAAGAACAAGCTGGAGAACCCAACCAAGCAGGCCACAGTCACTGGACATGTACAGATATGACGTCAAACGTGCTCTGATTTCACGAGACTAAAGCAGCTGGGCAGATACAAGGGAAGCTGCTGCTTGTCAGCCAGTCACTCGGGCTGTGGACCAGGGTGGAGATCAAAGTTTATAACTGAGATCAGACATTTAGCTGCTCCCTGTTTCTTTCTCGGAATCTCAGGATCTAAGTGACATTTACAGGAACACGTAGGGGCAAAGTGCTCCCTCCTTTCAAGGAAAAGAATAAGAAATTGTAGCGGTTGCCCTTACCCATTTGTGCATCTGCTTGAGCTAAACACGAAGGTTTTTGTTTTAATCGTGCCATCTACGCATCCACCAGGCTATGAGTTCCAAAGGCAAAGATCCTAGCAAACGCTCCTAAGCCTCCATCTAAATCTTTTCTCTCTCTTAGTGCTACTACTAATATGTAGCATTTTGTGGGTGTTTCTTATGTGCCAAGCACTGGGTTAAGTACTTTATGTGCAATGATGCATTTAAATCTTTACAATAACCCAACAACGTAGATACCACAGTTATCCTTTTTGACAACTGAGGAAACCGAGAGGTCAAGAGACTAACTGTCCAGAGAACTCACAGGAGAAAGGGGAAGGAGTGAGGGTTACCACCCAGGGGCTCCCTGGGGCCGAAGCCCCCGCTCTTTCCCAGGATGCTGTATGTCACAGAGGCATTCCGTACAAGCACCTTAGAAAGATCACCCCAACCAAGAGGTGACTTGAAGTGGAGCCTTACCGGTTGTGATCAAATAGGCATCGGGAACTGTAATATCACACACATATGGCGGCTTGGTGGTGACCAGTGCCGGAGTACCAACAGTTGCTTCAGAAGTGGAGGTGGGCACGGGATGAAGGGATGGCGGGGGTCGCACCGAACTGCTCTCGGGGGGATTCTGACTCGCAGTTCTGCTGCTCGGGGTGCTGTCAACAGTACGATCAGGGGCAGCACTGGTGTTGGGTGAGGTGGGTTCCGTGGAGGTGTTCATTGGTAACTCTGTGGGTGTGAATGATGGGCCCACAAATATTGGCTCTGTAGGAAGAGGTGAGGGGACCACCTCAGAAACAAACGAGGATGCTGACGACAGGTACGCATCAGTGACCAGCAGTGTGGGCCTGGCAATGACTTTGGAGAAAGAGGGTAAGACAGGTGAGCGGTCACCCGTAGCACTGACTTCGTCACTGGAAGGTGTTGGAGTTGGAGTTGGAAAGAGAGAAGATTCTGCTAAAATGGGTGTCGTATGAAAAGCAGTCAAAGGTGACGGGAAGTGAGTCCCAAGAGTCAAAACGTCAAGGGTGGGCTCAGACCTGGAGGGCACCAGGGTGGTGACCGCAGAGTCATGGGCAATGAGTGACAACTCAGAATAGGAGGTAGTTTCAGTGAGGGCTGAGGTAAAATGAGCTTCGGGACCTGTCGGGGAAACTGCTGCTGCTTCAGAGAACTTGAGAGAATCAGAAGGGAGGCCTGAGAGGCGCGACATTTCAGAGTAGCCAGGAAGAAACGTGAATGTACTTAAAAGAAGGTCTGAACTCGGCCGGGGCTGAGAAAATTCAGAGTTTGTGGAAGCAGGAACGGAAAGCGGGGCGGACGGCGCACGGAGAGAGTCCGACAGTGCGAGTGTCTCAACCGCGGCAGAGGACGCCTGAGAAACGAAAGCGGCCGCGGCACTCGCTGTCCCCAAAGTCGGAGAGGCAAGTCCTTCTGAAGATGAAGGGACCAGGCTGCTGAGCTCCAGCGGTGGAGTTGAGAGAAAACCGGCTGCGGACTCCAAAGCCCGTCCGGTTTCACGTGCCGAAGAGCGGCCAGGCTCCGGGTCAGGGAACAGCGAAGGCTCCCCGGACGCGCCCGGAGCGGAAGCCGGAGAAGGCCGTGGGCCCCCGCGAGCGGGCGGGGGGCGGTTGTGGCCCGCGGTGCGCGGGACAGACGAGTCGGGCAGCACGCTGCTGATGACCCAGGGAAACCCCGCCGTCCCGCCGCCGCCTGGCGGTCCCGGCGTTTCGGGGACAGAGGAGGAGCCCAAGGGCGCCGGATCGGGTGACGCCGGCGCAGAGAGGTGGCCGCGGGAAGGAGGCACCGGGCCGGTCCCGACACTCCCCGCACCCGCCTCGGCTGAAACCCCACCGCTCGTTCCTGAGACGCCCGCGGAGGGAGAAGAGAGTGGAACTACCGGCCGGGAGGGGAAACGTGTATTGAAGTCCTGCGGCTCTTCTTCGAATTCTGGGAAGTCCGCCACTCCGCGGCTCGGCGGAGAGACGCCGCCGCGGGCCTCCGGTGCGGTCACCGACAGGGTCTCGGCGCCGTCCCCCGAGCCCGCGTCTTCCCCCCCCGGGAGGCTGGCTGACGCGACGAGCCGAGGCGACGCCACGCGGCAGGACACGCACCCCGTGGACGGTCTGAGTGACGACAGCGGGCTCAGGCCGCGAGCGTCGTCCTCAAGGGCTGCGACGACCACTGCGTCGCCCGGCAGCTCCGACGTCTCACCGGAGCTGCCGGGGAGAAAGGGGTGAGAAGAAACATCAGCTGATGGAGGAGAAGAGGACACGGAGGCAGGAGAAGATGAGAACAAAGCCGAATTTGGGCTGCCGCCACTACAAGAAAGGGCCATCTGTGCCAGAGCTGCGGCAGGCTCTGTTCTAGAAAGGATGGTTCCTTCTAGACTACGACTCACAGCTGTGGTCGCCTCAGGGTATCTGGCCGTGGCCGTGGCCAGAACATCCTCTGGAGGCGGTGGGACCTCCGCCCAGGAGGGCAAAGGCTGCTGAGTCAGGCCACTGCCTAAGGGCAGAGGCTCTGCAGACAGAGAGCTAGAAAGAAGGGTTTCTGCCTCCTCCGTGCCTGAAGCCACAATCTCCGGCAAAGTCCTGCTCGCTGAGTGCCCGTAAGCGTCAGTAGGATAAAGCACCAAGTTCCTACTAGGAGTTGGAAGCAGGCCCTCGGATGTGGGAAAAGCTGACCGAAAAGCACTGAAATGACTGGGGGATTCGGTATACGTTGTTGGTTGTTGCATTGTGTTCTGCCACGCTGATGTCATCTGTTGGTCTTGTAAAGAAATAATGGGTGAGGATGGAGTCAGCGCCGGCGGGCTGACCGGGAGATACCGAATCGGAGAAACCACGCGGGAAGTGGTCCAGGGAGCTTCTGGCAAAAAGTTATCCATCTCATCATCCTCTCTGACCACCGCATTGCTCATCATCGACACATAATTTGCCACCAAGATGCTGTGATCTGCTATACTTTGGGTCATTGTTCCTTGGTTAAAAAAGATTGTATCAAAAATAGTGGTGGATGGAGATGATATGACGTGGAGAGAACTGCTTTCCTGGGACCCTGGGGCAGTTTCTGTTAAGGCCACATGTGCAGTGCTGTGCACGGTGCTTTTCTTCATCATGAGCTCCACGGAGGATAAAGAGAGGTTTTGCTGTTCCAGAAAGAGCTCATCTACAAGGGAAGTAAAAGCTGGGTTAGTTGCAAGGCAATCAAAGTCATATTGCCAACACTGTTTCAAAATCTCCACTCACTGTGAATATGTACAACACACAGAAGTTAAACAGCTACTTGGGAGCCAGAAATTGCCAGAATTACATTCAGGGTAATATCTGCAAATATTCATAACTGTGAGCTCTACCTTTACTTAAGCTTGTGTGTAAGCAGACATTAACATTTTTTTCTCTGACTTGCAAATGACACCACAGAATACTGGATATAGAGGAGGTCCTGGGAGGTTGTCTAGTCCATTCTGTCTCATTTATCACACAAGAAAGAGAGTTCAGAGAAGGTAACTACATCAGTTACATGATCACCCAGAGGTGAAGCTGGAATCTCAATATCAGCCTGTCTTGATTCCCAAGCCCACGTTCCTGCTCTTCCACAAGAGCCAGCTCTCAAGAGAAATGAACATGACAAGTCTGACAGCATCACTCACTCCCCAGGTAAGAGTTCAAAAGATCCTAGTTTAGGGCTGCCCACACTGAGGCCCCCGACTACCTCCAGGCTCAGCTCTCATCATTCCCTGCTCCACTCTCACACCTTCCTGACTACCTGCAGTTCCCAAATCCAAATTCCCTCTGGCTTAGCGACCCTGCACATTCTTCTCCCTCTGCTTGGGATGCCCTTCCCTGGCTCTCCACTTGAATCACTCCTACTGGTCCTGCAGATTCCACATAGACACCACCTCCCTCCTTAGTACTCTAAAGTTGAGTCCGTGCCTCTCCTGAGGCTTCTACCTGTCGTATCCCTTATCATCCCTCACTGAAATGAACTGTCCGCTCATTACACTGTGACCCTCTTGAGGACAAGGACCGTCAATCTGTTTTCCCAGTGCCTACCCCAGTGAACAACACATAGTGCAAGCTCAATAAGCATCTGTTAAATGAATGAATAAATAAAGGAATGAATGGTGAGGACCGAGTTCTGATATGTGCCAAAAGCATCCTATCGTCCTCTCAAAACTTTCACATTCTTTATCCTTGTCACAGCCATCATTATCATAGAAGTGGTTGAGGTATCTCCACCTATCATTCAAATACAGTGTATACAGAGGCAGGATCTGTAATGGCCCAAACCCCTATTGAAGACCCAGAGCACAGGGTACTGTCCACTACAACAGAGGCTGGGGACTGAGCAACTATCATGACCCATAATAATACCCTCCTCTTGCTTATCCAAACAGTCCATCAGAACATGAGTGTGTGAAATACTATAGAGATCACCTTGAATTCACTCTTTTTGTTTTTTGGGTTTTTTTTTAAAGATTTTATTTATTTATTTGAGAGAGAGAGTGAGAGAGAGAAAGAGTACAAGAGGGGGGAGCGGGAGAGGGAGAAGCAGACTCCCTGC